CAGAACACACACTCCATTAGAATATAAATTCCATCAACTACTGGGATAGAAATCCTAAATTATTTGTTAATTCCTGACAACCACCCAACAGGTGAAGCTTTCAGACTAGCAGGGGCCTGCCTCAGCTGTGGCACAGGCAGGGGCTCTTGTCATGGGGCGGTTCTCTGCATGGTCCAGAGAGCTGGCAGCACAACTGGCCTCTGCCCACTAGGTACCAGGAGCAACCATCCTCTGGCCCCCACCCACTTGTGACAACCAAAACCTCTTCATACTGCCAAAATCTCCAGGGACAGGGGACAACTCTGTGAGATAATGTCAGTCGACGGGGGACACACACACACACACACACACACACACACACACATCATTTCGTCAGACACACTGGGTGTATCTGAGCGTTTCTGGGCCAGATTGCCGTTTGAGTCCATACACCAAACAAAGCCCGGATAGAACAAAAAGGTGACCTCCTGCGGCCTGACTGCTTGACCTAGGGTGCGGACCCTTTCCTGACTTTGTCAGACTGAAATTTCGCATCGGCTCTTCTTGGGTCTCAAGCCTGTCAGCTGTGAGACTAGAATTTAGGCTCTTAGCTCTCCCGGTTCTCAGCCCTTGCACTCACACAGAAATTAAATCATGGGCTCTCCTGGCTCTCAGCTCAGGGGGTACAACTCCCGGAAGGTCTAAGCTGCCACAGCTGCATGAGGCAATTTGCTCTAGCATCACCCACTGGGTACCTACTGCCTCTTGGTTCCTTTGCCCTGGAAAATCCTATCACACCCTGGCTGAGAACCAGAGCCGTGCACTGCTGGGGAGCGGGGGCAAGAGGAGATGCACCGAGCACAAACAGGGAAGAGAGACAGCAGCAAAGCAAGAAGCTTCAAGGAAATGGCTTCAGTACTGGCCTCTCCAGGGAGGGCAGCTGGCCCGACCAACGAATTAAGCCATTGGTTTTCTATTACTTGTGGTTGGTAAATGGGGTCACTGATGCTTTCTTCTATCATACCTCCAAAATGCTACCCAGCATAGAGACTACTTACCTCAACACTAGGAAGGCAGCAACTGGCCGACACTGCTGTAAAATAAACACACAATCTATAAGCTAAGCTAATAAAGGATTAAGTCACATTAATTTATTCATCTTAATAAAATACACGAAATCCATTGTTTCTATTCCAACTAGAAGGTACAAATTTTCCAAAAGGATTTTTAAGAAAATTCACAGTACATTAGGCAGAAGCGTTTATACAACGTATTACTCATTTCAGTCTCTTGCCCTTGCAAAGTACTACACCTTTCTTCAGTGGCTTTTTATTATACAAGCTTTTATCCTATGGTTCTTTTAACGTACTTCAAGTTTACACTGTTGTGCCTAAATCATTTAGCTCACAAGGGAGGAGCTGATGAGAGTCGACTGCACTGCAGCACACGACCTAAGCAAGCGAGTGTGGCACAGACATCTACTCAAGCACAATGGGTCCTCCTGGTCACCAGCCGAGGCCTGTGTAACTTCACCAGTTTTCAAAACATCAAGAAGGCTGGGCACACTGGCACACGCCTGTGAGCCCAGCACTTGGGAGGCTGAGGCCGGAGGGTCACTGCAAGTTTGAGGCCAGCTTCGGCTACGTAGTGAGTTCAAGGCCAGTCTGTACTACAAAGCAAGACCCTGTCTCAAATAAACAACAACAAAAGCAAATCCACACACAGAAATACAGTAGAGAATAATCATTTACAAGTTTCACTCTTAAAACAATTTTAAAACTGTATTAAAATGTCATAGATCTACACTTAGTTTAAAACATACAAAGACACAAGTTTCTCTATGAAAACTCTTCACTAGCCTACTACAGAAAATGGATACATTTCATCAAAGACCTGAGTTACAACATCAAGATGTGCCTATACAGTACAAATACATTTTCATGGAATTACACATTTTTCAGATTCTTTTTTCGTAATTTGTACTTCCTTCAGTTTTCAGTGAAAGCTTTCCCAATACAATTTTTAAAAATATTAAGGAATTACCACATAGTCTCCTTAACCCTATCTACTATTCAGATCATCTTCATCAAAGAAATGAAAGTGCTGTATCTTCATTGACTGTTACCTTTTCATGTGAAAACAACAGATTTAAGAGAATTTTCAATTGGCAGTTTTAGTTCAGTAGCCTTCTCACTTGAAGGCTGCAGAAAAAAAGTGATAATTACACTATATGTGGATAGAACCTTAAGCAACATTGTTGGTACTGGGGAGCAAACTCAGGATCTTGTGCTTGCTAGGCAGGCACTTATGCCGCTGAGCTATTTCCCCAGCCCAACGCTGTTATCTCTAGAGCATTTGCAAAAAATAATTTCATCAGTATTATATACTAAGTAGTTTGGTTTTAACACATTCTAGAATTTACAGGTTGGAATTCTGAAGTTAATGGGTTTAGCTGCAGAATAATTTTTTTTCTTTTTTAAAAATATTTATTTATTTATTTATTTATTTTGTGTGTGTGTGTGTGGCCAGCTCAGCCCACCAGGGGGTGGGGCTGGCTGGCATGTGGTGCTGGGGGATTGAACAGCGGTTCCTGTGCTTTGCTTAGTTTAGCTTGTTCTAAGTAGGTGCTTTAGACCACTGAGCCATCTCACCAGCCCCAATAATTTTTTTTCTATTGTTGGTTTTTATCAATAACACTGACAGAAGTTAACACATTTTACTACCAATCCTCACAATCCCTGTGAGGTAGGCATTGCTTCATGTCCACTTTACAGATGGGAAACCACAAAATAGGGCAAGAAGATATACTCTCAGAAGTCATATATCAAGCAATTGTGGTTTTGCTAAAAGGTAGCTATACTGAGATACTGAGTTCTATAATATGTGATACGGAAAAATACCCAAACATTCTTTATTTTTCTCAAGAAAACAACTACACGTACAATCAGAAAGAAGGGATACTTTAAAGCTTACCCATGAAGAATGTATGTGCCTGCTACATTGATCAAAGTGCATTCGGCATCTCCAGGTGTAAGTCTGACAGTCACTCCACCAACTACATTCTACAGTATTATTAGGATACTGGTTAGTAGTATTTTGTCCATTTTGCAGAAGATATAATCAAAACTAAAAGTTTTACCTAGAAGAACTTTTCAAATTTAAAGGTTTTTTTTTTTCCACTGAGGAATCCTAACTTTAAAAAAAATACAGTAAAATTTACGGTACTATATTAGGCTTATGACAGTTACTTTTTTAAAATGCCTGCAAAATGAATAAAGAAAAAATGTAACCTCTTTGGCTCTCTAGAACTCAGCTTTTGGAATTTTTTTCCTATAAAATGAAATTGGGGCCAGGGAGATGGCTCAGTAGAATAAGCACTTGTCTGGCAAGTGCAGGGGTCTGAGTTCAATCCCCGGTTCCACCAAAAAAAAAAAAAAAAAAAAAAAAAGGAAAAAAAAAAAAAGAAAAAAGAAAAAAAAAAAAGAAAGAAAGAAAAAGAAAAAGAAATTAAGATCTCACTTACTAAAACAGAACATGATGAGGACCAAGGAAAGAGCATTTGCTTGGTTTGTTCGTTTGGTTTGGTTTTTTGGGTGGTGCTAGAGATCGAGCCCAGAGCCTCACACATGCTAATAAGAAAGCACTCCACCACTGGGCCAGATCTTCAGCTCCTGGCCTCAAATCTGCAAACCTCCTGTGTCCACCACCCCCTCTTCCTCCTCCCCATACCCAGCTGGCCTGAGTTCTTAATATTACAAGAAACTATATGAATAAAATGAGAAATCCAAAGCCAAGCAGACACAGCTATAATCCCAGCACTCAGAAGGTTGTGATCCAATCCCAGGACTTGGGAGGCTGAGCAGGAGGATCACCACAAGTTCTAGGCCAGAATGGGGCTACATGGTGAGTTATAGGCCAGCCTAAACAATATATGGAAAGCTTGTCTCTAAAAAACCTTCATATTGGGGGGGGAGAGGGAGAGAGGAAGAGGGAGAGAGGCAGAGGGAAGGGGGGAGAGGGGGAAAGGGGGAGAGATCCAGTTAATCGCTGTTTTCTTAATACTTATATAGGTCTAGTCCCACTTTAAGTGGGTGTGGCCTAGCACAGCCAATCAGCTACACGCCACTCCTTACACTTTCTCCAGGCTGCCCTGCCCTGCAGCCTTAGCCCACCACCCACACCTAACACTTCTACTCCGGTCCTTCAGCTGGACAAGGGCTTCCTGTGTCAATGCCAAAGGACCGGGCAAGGAAGGAAGAACATGAATACAGAAGACTAGAAAAACTGCCAGACACGTGGCACACACCTGTAACCCCAGCACTCAGGGAGGGTGAGGTATGAGATCACAAATTTCAGCCTAGCTTGACAATTTAGCAAAACCCATCTTGAAATTTTAAAAAAAGTACTGGGGGATACAGCTCAGTGCCAAGGCCCTGGATTCAATCCCCAGTACCACACACACAGGAAAAATTATCTTAATAAGGATAAAACTTTACGAACTATAAGGAATACATCCCAAATAGTCTATGATATATAAAATCAGTAGTAATATTCTTGTTCTTATGATATGAAAGCTTTGAAGGCAGTATGAGTTTGAATTACTACTTAAATGAATTGGTGAAAAGAATGTAACTTAAATAAAATTCTGACCCCAAAGGGGAACAATTAGTCTGCCTCACTCCTACTATAGCTGAGCCTGATCAACAGCTAGATCTTGCTCTTGGTTTTAATCCCAGGCCCTACTCCTGTCTAAAGCAGAAACTCAGCTACTTTAGAAAATGTGCAGAGGCTTTCTTCACTGAGCCCACCAGGAAACTTACCACTCTAATTCCACCTCACTGCTTTTGTATCTTACAATCAGTTGGATTATTCTTTGAGCTCCTTTCTGATGAACAATGAGGTGGCTGTAAATGTTCGTGGACGTCCTCAGAAGCATTTGGCCAAAAGGGAGCTCAAGTGCTTTTTACATGTAATTAAATGTAAGTCCTACAAATCAGATTATTAGATGTACTCCTCGGGCATTACATGCAGGACCAGCTGAGCACTCTGTACTCCCGGCTACCTGGAGGCAGGTGAAAGAACTGCTTGAGCCAGGAGTTCCAGGAGAGCATGGAAAACCCAGAAAGAACCTGTCTCAGACGGGGAAAAGAGACCCACAAATGCTTTTCAAAGGTCTGTAAGGCTTAGAATTTAGTAGGGGAGCTTTAAAAAAAGATGAAGCTGTTTTGGTTGAGACAAGATCTTGCCATACAGTCCGGCCAGCCTCCAACTCATGGTGATCCTCCCGCCTCAGCCGCCCCAAGTGCTGGGAATGCAGGACTGGGGGTGAAGCTGTTTTGGAAATGTTCTTTTCTCATTATCCTTCACTACTGGTGCCTCAAAGTTGAGTATTTCAAAAACAGCCTGGATCTGCCCTTTCTGATGAAGTTTGACCAGCTACTGTTCAGGTACAGAGAGCAGGAGGGTCTATAACTTATTCCATCAACTTTAGGGATTTTTTTTTTTTTGCTCCTCGAATGCCTTCAGGGCACTTTTGGCTGGCTGGAGGGTTGTGAGGATCGAACTAGAACAAGCTGAGGCTGACAGCTTTGTGGAAGCAGCCACTTAAAGCACTGAGCTAGGGCCAGGCCCCATTCCATCAACTTTAATTTTTCTGGGGTTTTAGCTTTGTATTTGTCACTATTATAAAAAGGAATTAAGTCCACTCAGTGGACACTAAGCATAGTTCCAGAACACTGGATGGTTTCCCTTGCTGGTTTTATGAACCAGAAGTGAAAAGCATACCAATGAAAAAATTTTAAATAAGTTTTATTTTTTATTTTTTGCAGTACCAGGGATTGAACTCGGGATCCTGCGCTTGCCAGGCAAGCACTTATTCTACTGAGCTATCTCCCTGGCCCCTCAAATAAGTTTTAGAAAATTAACATCAACTGAGGCAACCTTGGAAATCTGACAATAAGGACAGAAAATATTATTTGTATATTAACATCTTCCTCCTTAAACTCACATTAACCTTTGATCATCAAAATCTCAAGCTGTTCTTAAAGGATCTAAGGACATACTCCATATTTAGATAAAAACTCTGGGGTATTGGTTAACACAGATCTCTTAATCTGTAATTCTTTTTTTTGCTTGTTTGTTTTGGGGTACTGGAGACTGAACTGAGGACCTTGCACTTGCCAGGAAAGCGCTTATTCTACTGAGCTATCTCCCCGGCCCTTAATCTGTAATTCTATGTGCTTATCTGTGTGTATATATCTTATTGTTTCTCTACAATTTTTATATTTCTCTTTTCCTAGTCTCTTCTGAAATATTTTTTGTTTAAAAATGAGGTGCACTCAATGTTAAGTAAATAAAAGTCATGTAAGTAAAAAGTTAAAATTACTTATGATTTGAAATAGCCATGTCTTAAAACTAATTTTTTGGGGGGCCTGCCCCTTACCTCAGTTCTTTAGGGCTGGGGAGATGGCTCAGCGGAATAAGTGCTTCCCTGGCAAGTGCAAGGGCCTGAGTTCAATCCCCAGTTCTGCCAAAAAAAAAAAACAAAAAAAACCTAATTTTTTGGGGCCGGGGACATGGCTCAGGTAGAATAAGCACTTCCCTGGCAAGCACAAGGGCCTGAGTTCAATCCCTGGTTCCACCAAAAAACCCAAAAACAAAAATTCCTAATTTTTTTTAGTAATCCCAGCACTATGGGAGGCTGAGGTAGGAAGACTGGAAGTTCAACTCCCACCTGGACAACTCAGCAAGACTCTGCTTTAAAATGAAAAAAAATTAATAAAGGGCCAAGGAGATAGCTCAGCAGCATCAGCGCCTACCTGGAAAGCACAAGGTCCTGAATTCGATCCCTGGTACAAAAAGATTAACAGAGCTGGGAATGCAGTTCAGTGCTAAGAGTGCCCTTAGGTTCAATCCCCAGTAACACACACACACACAGATATACACATATACACACACA